GAAAGGCTGGTCTGGTGGGGGGGGGGGGCCGCACTAGCTGTGTCCCCCCCAGCAGACCATGGAGACGCGGGCGGCGGGACCGAGACGCGCCGCGGTCCCGCGCCCGCATCCTCCGCGGCTTTGCTCCGCGTCTCCCTGGTCTGCTGGAGGCCTAATCCGAACTTGCTAGTCCGTGCCGCGTGTAGCCGCGCGGCACGGAGTCCGAACTAGCCGGCATTTAAAAATGGCGCTGGCCGGCTTCATGCAAATGAAGCCCGGGAAATTCAAATCCCGGGCTTCATTTGCAACTCCATATGACTACATTACCCCCCCCCCTAGTTCTAACTAGGGGGGTAGTGTAGACATACCCTTGCTTATTATAAACAACATAATTTGGAACAGCTTTGAGATCTTTAATGGAACATGGCACATAACAGTTTAGCAATGGCGCTGGCCGGCTTCATGCAAATGAAGCCCGGGAAATTCAAATCCCGGGCTTCATTTGCAACTCCATATGACTACATTACCCCCCCCCCTAGTTCTAACTAGGGGGGTAGTGTAGACATACCCTTGCTTATTATAAACAACATAATTTGGAACAGCTTTGAGATCTTTAATGGAACATGGCACATAACAGTTTAGCACAATTTATCAGTTTCTACACATGGCAATAAGTAATTCACACTTGATTCAAACAACCTGTAGATCCCCTATTTGTATTTTTAAAGAACTGCAATGTAAGTATGTCAAATGCTGTACATGAACAAACCTTGTCAAGGCAAACATTAAGAAGGAGCATATACACAGTGGGGAAGTTACCAGTCAGTATTATTTTTAAATTTAATTTATAAGTTTTGTTTCTTACAGCCTTGTCTCTGGAACTCACGTTTCTATTTCAATCTTTGCTTAATTGTTACCTTTCCTCAAACAAGGGGAAAATATTCACTATCTGCAATTAGTGGTTTATGTGCCAAACCATAAGGCCTAAAACCATGACAGCAAGAATGTATTACCATTGCAATAGCAAGCCACTCGGTGAAATTTCAACACATACTTCACCAGGGTGGTCAAGACTAAACCTGGAAAACTAAGAATAGATTTATTTTTAATAAATCACTTAGACAAAGTAGGGCAGCTATCAGCAAGTTATAAAGTTCCAACACAAAGCTTGAAAGCATTATGTATTACTATCTATAACCAGGTTTAGCCAAAACAGTGACTGGTGGTGTGTCTGGTGTGTGAGCTTTTTTGTTTACAGATCTTAGAAAATGGCAGTCCGTCAACAATGTTTAAGTTTTAAATTCTTATAAGTGATTTATAATTAAAGGAAAATGAAAAAGTATATATTCAATGTATTATAATATGAGGTCTGAATGGACATCAAGCCCCTCTGTAACAGTTTTCTATTTTGTCCTTCCTGCTACCTCCCCAACCATACAAAAATTGAAGACAGTGCCCCAGGAAACTCCATGTTGTGACTATCATGGACATCTGTCTTATATTTCCCTCAGAGCAGGAAGAAAATGAAGGCTATTGAGGTGGACAAGGGTATGGGCTCCAAATCCAGAGATTCAATGGAAATGAAGGTTAACTGTGCACGGGATTAACCTGCCAGGTTTCTGCCACACTTTCTTAGGAATTATACTTCCACTGGCTCAATCACCTCCACCAAACACCCTTTTCTGAGAAAACTGCATATGGAGTGAGAACATCAAGATTTTTTTCTGTAACTAACTTTGGGAGGGTGTCCACATATAATAACTATCCAGCAAAGCATACTGGACTGTGGTGATGGCCCTCTATGCCTCATAGTCCATCTAGGGATGATTAAGTGAGCACAAAGGAGTATCAATAAGGAAGGTCTTCTTAATAAGCCTCAACTTTCCTTTTCTGATTTTCCTCATACCTGTGTCCCCATCCTCTTTTTCTTCCTCCATCTCCTATATGACATCACTGAATTTCACTGTTCCCAGTAGATAAAAATGCAGAGTAAACAAAACAAAACAAAAAAGCACATGATCCTTCTTGTCTAATAATTCTGAATGAGTATAAAATGCATATTTTAGTACAGCCCAATAGTGAAAAAGTATATTTGCAATATATCTGTAATATACTGTCTTCTCACAAAAGTGACAATATTAGATTCAGGATGAGAAGGTTAAACGACTTCCATTTAAATAAGCTGAACACATAATGAAGTTTGAGATTGCCACGATATTTTAAACATGGCATGTCATGTGTCTAGTACAAGTACAAACCTGAAAGTTTCCCACTTGTATAGCCATAACTGTGTAAAACTGGACGGGGTTTATTTCTGGCATTATGTAGCCAATCTCTAAAGATCTTCTCCGATTTCTCTTTTTTCTCCTGTAATTCAGCTATCCTTTTTTGTTCCTTTTCCTAAAAAGTGAAGAAAAATCAACATTCACAGACAGTACGCTGAACAAAATATGAAAAC